AGCCTTATTGTGAGTTAAATTTAACTTTGTGTGTGTCTTCATGTATTTTCAGTGAGATTTTTTTTTTTATTAAGTAGAACCAACCATGGGGCATAAGTGGAAGCATCGGAATAAGTTAGAAGCTAATCCTGGAGAACAATGTTCACTCGCTCAACGGATAAAACATTTAGTCAAGAGAGACAGGAAGTTGAGGCTAATCATTGCATCATGTTTGATTATCAATCAGCTGTGTTTTTTCACTTGTTCTTCTTGATGAGTTGCCAATCAAGGCTAGAAAACCTGGTCTGCCCTGCTGATAGCTCCTAGTTGTAATACGGTTCTTGTAAACTGAAAGAAAAATATTTATTACCTTCACTCTCTTTGGCTTCAAATATCTATGGTGGTTGAGTATCATATTGAAAATATTGTCGTTCTCCTTGATGAGTTGCCAACCAAGGCTAGAAAACCTGGTCTGCCCTGCTGATAGTTCCTAGTTGTGGGGAGAATAGTTTGAGCAAAACCTTAACAATGGTATTAGTGCAAAGGTTGATGTGATGTAATATCATTTAGATAAACTACATCCAAAAGCAAGGCCTTTGATCAGGAAGTTTTGAGGAGCATGGCACCACCTCTTAATTGTTCGCAGGTTCACTCTGACCCAGGGTGATAGCATGTGCCAAGGTCCCAGCTATGGGTAAATAGTTAACTCCCCAAAAGGGGTCAAAGCAATGAAAGTATAAAAGGTCTTTAATACTAGAAATCACTTGCTATTTCAAGATCAGCAGTGGCAGTTATTCATATGTTTGTTATTGGTGAAAATTTGCTTCAGGTTCATCTGCTGGAATAGGTATTGTTTTGGTAGGGTATTTGGGCAAATAAGTATGATGTTGAAAAAAAAAAAGATTTCTGAGCTTTTGGGTACAGTAGGTACTTTTTTATTTTTTTTGCTCACACATAACTATTACTGGCAGCCACAATCTTAACATTAACTTAAGGACGCATGGCACAATGGATAAAGGTGTTGGTTAGATCCAGTGACGACACTACTACTACTACTCCTCCTCCTCCTCTTTGGCGACACCAGATGCTGCATCAGTCATTTTTGCTGTCCTGGATGATAACAGCAAGGCCTCTGATCAGATGGTTTTCAGGAGCATGGAACCACCTCTTAATTGCTGGTGTTCTCAGGTTCATCCTGACCTAGGGTGGTAGCACCTGTTAGGGTCTCAGCTATGGGAAAATAGTTAACCCCCAAACTCGGGTCAAAACACAATGAAAGTGTAAAAATAGTTTTTAATACCAGAAATATTTTGTAAAAAAAAGAAAAAAAAAAATTATTACCAGCAATAAATTTTACGATACATGACTGACAAGGCAGATTTTTCCTGCAGTAGGTTGCCATTTCTTTCTGTGTTAGACTAGTTGCAATCCAAAGCTATAGAACCAGGTCTGTCCTACTATTTACCCATAGCTGGGGGAAGAAGAGGATTCATACCTTTTCCAAGTGTATTAGCACGTAAGTGAATGTAATGGATTCGACTAACCAGTTATACACCTTTTTGAAAAAATGTTACCAGCAATAGATTTTTGAATGAAAAAAATTACCAGCAACACATTTTTGGAAGAAAAAAAAATAAATAAATATTACCAGCAATAAAAATCTTGTTGGCATTAAATAACCAATTGAGGTTTTGATATGCCATAAAACAAACAAAACCGATCAGTCGTTTTTGACCACTTTCCCATGTCAAAGCATTTCTAATTGTTTTTTGTTTCTTTAGATTATAACCCGTTTATGTTTAGCTCCAGTCATGATTGTAATGAATGCAAGAAATGCTTTTTGTGGTACAAAGTGCAAACACTATGCATTGTCCATAAAAGTAAGGTAGATATTTCTGCATTACCAGGTAACCTTTATTTACCTGTTTCATTAAAATTTCACTTAGTTTAAACTTAATATTTTTTTTATACCTTTATTAACTGTGTGCTTATTTACAGGTTATTTTCAAGGTAGGATGAAGTGGTTAGCTGTTGGATTCTATGTAGCCCCAAGTAATCTGGCAAAATAACTTATCTGCCACCCAACACATCCCAGCGTTGCCTGATTGGTGATAACCAACCTGTGTAACCATTGACTAATCGAACATGTTTATGATCCAATTTAAGCATTATTGATCTAGGTAACCTCCAGGAATTTTTGAACAGAACCCTTTATTTATTATTTCAATCTGTTAACTATGCTGAGAAAAGCAATAAAGTGACCAAGAAAGAATTACTGAGTGTTAAAGAACAAGAAAAAAAACTTTATGAAGAAGTGAGAACAATAAAAGAACAGGAATTAAGAAGACTGAAGATAGCGAATGACACTGCATTTAAACTTTTGAAAATAAAACTTGACTGTAAAGCAAAAAGCTAGAGTTCCACAAGTGAAAAGTGCAAGCGAAGAAACTATTAGCATAGAACTTATGGTTACATCTAGACATTTCAACTGTAAAATGAGACCTTACCACCAATCTAGTACTGCACTTAAATCCCTAAAGTGAGGAGTCATATTTATTTTGAATAATATAAAAATGTGGCACAAGGCCAAAAGGCGGGATAAGAGAAAGCTGGTCTTCAATGTGTCTTATCTCAAAATTTAGCTAATCATGATTACTAACCCAAACATACCACAGTATTCCTAACACCAAAACAACACATTCTTTCTTACCATTCTTACCGCAGTCACCATAATACCTCAGTCTCTATGTAGTCCTAACTAGCTCCCATACGTACAATTTGTCATTCTAAAAATAACATTTAAAAATGAAACACTAATGAAGATTTACCATAGAGGAAAAGTATTTATAGAAAAGACCCAGGGAAACTACGTTACAGTGATGGGGGAAAATGACTGAAGCTGAGATGCCATGCCAGGACCAATAGCATTGCAGATTCTTCTTTGTATTTAATCAAGAATCTCTAAATGCATAGCAGAAGCACTAAACCAGATGTGGCAACAATATTCAATTCATGAACAAATCATAGACTTATAAATGTGTGAAATAGATTCTGATGAGAAAAATTGTCTAGCACAACAGAGTGAATAGACTTTCCTAGCAGCAGCCCTAGTAATTGATTCAATATAATCTTTCCACTTGATTGACTTTTCAAGGTTAAACTGTAACTTTTTATTCGATTCGTTGTACTTGAAATTTTCCTACTGTGTATATATTGTCTTTAATTACTTTTTGTCTGTTGAACAGTATGAAACCTATTAGCCAATGTTCTTTCCGGTTTTGTTTTTATGCTCCTAACCCACATTGTCTTCTGTGAAACTCTTTCATCTTAAAAAGAACAATGGATATTTTAATGCATTTTTTTTTGCTTTCCTTCCAGGCAAAGTTAACTTTAAGCTTTCTTCATCTAAAAGATGCTAATGACCCCCCCCTCTTTTTTTTTCTCTTTCTTTTTGTCTCTTACTTTTATATATTGACTTTCTCAGCTGCATGGGGTGAATTCCCATCTACTGTGTTATTGTTGTTTGTTTTTGTTTTTTTTTTGTTTTGTTTTGTTTTTTTGTTTTTTTTATAAAGAGAAAAATAAAAATAGAAGCCAGCAAAAAGACAAAAAATTAATGATAGGTGGAACAGCAGTTACTCTATGAATATGGTTCTTTTTACATCATACTCACAGGTATATTGCAGCTCAGACCAGACACGAGGTTCGTTCACAGCATGCAGTTTCTTCTGATCAAATGCTTGTGACTTAATTCAAATAATTCTTTGGCTGGATCATTACCCAAGAAAAAAATCCTGAGACAAAATTGTAGTTGGCAAATTTAATTCAATTGCCACCTTCTTATAAAGGCCGGCAGTAGGCGAGCGAGTAAAAGTCTAACCAGTATGTGCCTTCCTTTTTGCATGGCAGATGAGCGGTCCTTTTCCTTAGCCTGCTAGGAATCACTGTCTTAAAAATTTTGTTCTGTCAGCTTTCATCTAAAAAAAAAAATCATTAAGAATCCAGGGTCTGGTTCCACTGATCTTTTTCAGGGTCCATTGATCTGGTTCTTGGGAGGTCCATTGCACATTCCAGTAAACAAATGCCTCAACTGGTGAGAAGCAAACAATCCATATTGGAGATCAAGACATTTTTTATTTTTTTATTTTTTTATTTTACTATTATCTCAGAAACCTCCAGCCAATCTTTTCCTCAAAAAGATTTTAAACCATCCCAAAACCAAAAAGGGCTTCTTTTTTTCTTTTCTTTTTTTTAACTTTATCATTTGTAGTTGTTACTAGTATAATAAAAACACCATTAAAATGTTTAGGAATTTAAAAAAAAAAAAAAAAAGGTAAAATATTAAAGTTTTTAAAAACGAAACAAAATTTTTTTTTTTTTTTTTTTTTAATCATTTCATCCCATGCAAGGGGTTATAGAATGTTAGAAAATATGAGAAAAACTACTATTAAGGAGAGAGGACAATAAATAAGACAGAAGATAATGATTGACATTGCATTTAATTTTTTTAAGATCAATGTTGACTGGCAAGCGGGAAGTGTGAGAGAAGAAACTGTTAGCATAGAACTTACAGTTCCATCTAGCCATTTCAACTATAAAATGATTTTTTACTGTAAAGTTCCTTGTTTGTTTTACAGAAATAAGTAGTTTTCTTGTGTATAATACAACCAGGTGTTTCTGGAGCTAAAAACTGGGAATAAATTACATTCTTTAGTGTAATATGATCACATAGTACAACCATATCACTGTGTAATATTGTTTTGTTTTTTAAGTTATACCATATTATCCATCAAAATCTCAATGCCATAAAAAAACATATCTGGTGGCATTGATATGCCATAAAAAAACATATCTGGTGGCATTGATATGCCATAAAAAACATATCTGGTGGCATTGAGTAGTATTATCCGTCCATTATGACTACTATATCGTGATTATCTATAGAGTGGGGATTTATGTTGGAATTTTTTTTTTTAACAATAGAACAATGAGAGGTTGTGAACACTTGATGTATCCACAGCATGGCACAGAATGTGGGCCCTCTCTCTCTCTCGCTTTCTGTCTCTCTCTCTCTCGCTTTCTGTCTCTCTCGCCCTCCCTCTATCTCTCGCTGTCTATCTCTCTCTCTCGCCCTCCCTCTATCTCTCGCTGTCTATCTCTCTCTCTCTCGCCCTCCCTCTATCTCTCGCTGTCTATCTCTCTCTCTCGCCCTCCCTCTATCTCTCTCTCTCGCCCTCCCTCTATCTCTCTCTCTCTCCTCTCCCTCTATCTCTCTCTCTCGCCTCCCTCTCTCTCTCGCCCTCCCTCTATCTCTCGCCCTCCCTCTATCTCTCTCTCTTTCGCCTCCCTCTCTCTCCCCCCCTATCTCTCCTGTCTATCTCTCTCTCGCCCTCCCTCTCTCTCTCGCTGTCTATCTCTCTCTCTCGCCCTCTATCTCTCGCTGTCTATCTCTCTCTCTCGCCCTCCCTCTATCTCTCACCCTCCCTCTATCTCTCGCTGTCCATCTCTCTCGCCGTCCCTCTATCTCTCGCCGTCTATCTCTCTCGCCCTCCCTCTATCTCTCGCTGTCTATCTCTTCCTTTTTTTTTTCTTTATCTCCATTTATGACCGTGCTATGTTGTTGTCAACAAATAACACAGTATGATATCTGAAAATTCAATTATTTAACACTGGCATCACCAGGTTTCTAGTGTACTTTCTGAAACTGAAAAAGGCATTTGAAAGGTTAAACACTTTTTTTATCCGATGCTAAAGTCAAGAATTGTTGGATGCCATTAAGTCAAAAGTAAACCAGATTTAAAAATTACGTCTAACTTTTGCAGAAACGTGTCACACTAACTACTATTTTGAGAAATACATTTGTCATTTTGTAGAGAAATAAATTTACTTGATTTTGACAGCAGTTTCATTATCTGATAAAAAACTTGTTCTATCAGATAAGACATTACTTATCAATCACACCTTTTAAGTTTAAAGAGAAATAAATTGTCTTCATTTTGATACCCGTTTCATTATTCTATCTGTCTAAAACTTGATTCATAGGATTGGAGACCTTACTTATCAAACAACCTTTGTAATTTTGAAGGGAAATAAATTTTTCATTTTTATACTAGTTTCATTATTCTATCTAGTCTAAAACTTGTTTTATAGAATTGAAGACCTTACTTATCAATCAAGCCTTTTAAGTTTAAAGAGAAATAAATTGACTTCATTTTGATACCCGTTTCATTATTCTATCTGGTCTAAAACTTGATTCATAGGATTGGAGACCTTATCAATCAAGCCCTGTAAATTTGGAGGGAAATAAATTTCTTTCATTTTGATACCTATTTCATTATTCTATCTGGTCTAAAACTTGATTCATAGAATTGAAGACCTTAGTTATCAAACAACCTTTGTAATTTTGAAGGGAAATAAATTTCTTTTATTTTGATACCAGTTTCATTATTTTATCTGGTCTAAAACTTATTTTATAGGATTGGAGTTTTTACTTATTGATCAACCCTCATATATATAATGGATTCTTCAGCTATTTTCGATGTATGAGTGTCAAACAACTGAGTTACTAGGAATTGATAGCCAGCCCCCACCATACATGACTTGATTACAGTGGTGAAGGCTTTGTGCAGAATTCATCACACTTTTTGAAGAGCAAATACAGAGACCTGGCACACCGTGTGCCACAAGGTCCCCAAACGACCCTTCACAGGTTTTGAATTCCTTCTCCTAGAACAGTTGCCATCCAAGGCTATAGAACCCAGTGTGTCCTGCTATTTACCCATAGCTGTGGGGAGAAGAGGATTAATACCTTTCCAAGGGTATTAGCACATAAATGAGTGTAATGGATTTGACTGGAATTCGAACTCTGCTCTCTGATTCCTCAATCTGAACCACTATCCATTACTCCACTGCACCTCATATATATATATATATATATATATATATATATATATATATATAACAATATGAACTGTGCCTTTTAGCCATGAGTTTATGTCTGAGTAAAGTACACATACACACATCTGTAGGATGTATAAGAGTATCTAAAACAAAAGTGAAAAGAGACAATGTGGAAAAGCTTATAAATTTCCATGTTGGATCTGATAAGGTAATTTATTACCTCTCTTATCCTCAAAAATCTCAATGAACCTATAAAAATGATGTGCTTGCACTGTAAAATCACTTACATTGGGGAGACATCTCAATATATATTTGTACATAGATCACAACCCATGACTTATGTTCATTTCTTTGTGTTATTTTGCTAAACCACACTGTAGAATTGCCACAGGTATATCTCTAAGAATTTTATGAAGCAAAACAAATTGCTATGTCTTTGATTCAGAGATAAACAACTGCAAGATCTTCAAGGTAATGTCTCATTTTACTTCCCTAACTTTTGGGAAAAAAAAAAGGTTTAATTGGAATCCGGTTTACCATATTCACAAATGAACAGGGATAAAAAAAAAAAAAAAAAAGGAATTATTAATTTCAAGGGCAGAAGACAAAAGCGGCAAATGCTTTTGCTGTGCCTTTGCCATTTAATGCAGTTTGTGTTTCTGTTGGATTTCTCATTTTTTTCTTTTTTTTCCCCAGTAGTACTTTTTTAGTCCTTGGGTTTTGTTGTATTTTTTTTTTTAATATAATGCATCTTTTCTTTTTCTTTCTTTGTCCTTTTTTTTTTTTTTTTTTTTTTTTTTTTTTTTAGTTAAATGATTTTTAAGCTTTTTAATTCTTTTAAAAAAAATTCTTTAATTCCAAATTTTCTCTTTTTGCTTAAGTTGTTTATTTCTCTCTCTTGTGCCCTCTTTCTCTCCTTCCCTCCTTTTCTCTCTCCATCCTTCCTCTCCTTTTCTCTCTCCATCCTTCCTCTCCTTTTTCTCTCCATCCTTCCTCTCCTTTTTCTCTCCATCCTTCCTCTCCTTTTCTCTCTCCATCCTTCCTCTCCTTTTCTCTCTCCATCCTTCCTCTCCTTTTCTCTCTCCATCCTTCCTCTCCTTTTCTCTCTCCATCCTTCCTCTCCTTTTCTCCCTCCATCCTTCCTCTCCTTTTCTCCCTCCTTCCCTCTGCACAAAACCTTTTAAAATGTTTCTAACAATCTATAATTATTGATTTTTTTTTTTTTCTTTTCTTTTCCTCAAAGTAAAACTAATAGAATGATATTTACAAGAGAAAAGATAATAACTGAAAAATACACTGGAAAATAGGTGACTTTTTTCATTCTTAGCTTTTTGTTTGATCTAAATGCTTGCTGCTTTTCACTTTTTGTTCACTTTGAAAAGAGAGGGGGGGTCTCTGACTTCCTCTTTTATCCATCAGTCAATAACAATCTTTCATGATTTTTTTTTGTGTGTGACATCTTTAAAAAAAACAAAAAACTTAATTTTCCATTTTATAGAAGGGAATTTTTTTCCTTACTCAGTGAAATACTTTTTTCTTTTATTATTTTTAAGTTCAATTCTTGACTTTGTTTATATTCCATTGGTTGATTTCCCTTTCTGTAAATGAGTGACTCAAAAATATGTATTGTTGTTGGAATATAATGTACCGTGCACCAACATCTCCAAAAGTCATTATTAGCTGAAATCATTATGCAAAAAAAAACAGGCAAACTGGTAAGAACATGGTTGGCTATTCTCGTCTCTATTGTGATGTAGGGATGGGTAGAGAGCAGGTAAGAGAATTGGAGTGCTTGATGGTCAAAAGAAAGATCTGGTCCATTACTATTGGGACTGTCTATATTTCTGAGATGAGGTATTATGTACACTATTTACATTATTCGGACTATTGTCCTCATCTTTGTCGCCATATTTATTATAACGTTTCGGCCTTTCAGTATCTGTCTATATTTCTGAGATGAAGTATTATGTACACTATTTACATTATTTTGACTATTGTCTATATTTCTGAGATGAGGTATTATGTACACTATTTACATTATTCGGACTATTGTCCTCATCTTTGTCGCCATATTTATTACAATGTTTTGGCCATTTTACACTCCAGCCTTCTTCAGGTGGTTGGAATGTCGAACTGAACCCTTTATTTCACTCACTGGGGTAGACTGTTCTAGTTCCATGTGCCATGTTTAATGGATGTCAGTTATCAGTTATCTCCTGTTAATTCCCCTCTCCAAGTTCTCCACTGCCTTAACTGGGTATTGAACTCACACTCTTTGGGTCCTGTTACTGGATCTAACCAATGTATTAGCACGTAAGTGAATGTAATGGATTCGACTGGAATTCAAACTTGGCTTTCCAATTCCTCAGTCCGAGCTGCTATCCACTACTCTGCTCTGTGTGTGTGTGTATATATATATATATATATATATATATATATATATATATATAAATCTAGCTTAAAAGTCACTCTATCAGGTTGCATTCCTCATTTGCACAGGACTTTCTTGTCCTTGCTGTAGCCTTTTAATTGCAATCTGCTTCTCTGTTGGCAGTGACTTATTTTTGCAAAGCATACTGCTGCTGTATGTGATAGGCAACAATAAACTACAGAAGAACTCAAAATTAATTGCTGCATTTAAGTACTGCATTAGTATTTAAGCTTACCTTTTAAAAGTTTGATGCTAATTCTTCTGCCGCCACTAAATTAAAGACAATTTGATGTACATAGGTCCTTACTTTCTGTACAAACAACTATTTTTATTTCAAGGTTGACTTTTGTTGGATTTTGCAATTAATTTCAGTTATTCACAGATTTATTTCCAAGTTATTAAAATTATCATACAAAAAATTTTTTTACAAAAACTCGCAAAAAAAAAAAATCACTGAACACAATTGCATTAATGAAAACCTGGGAATCCAAAATTTCAGGATTGTGGGTCTGTTTCTGACATGGAATGTTTTCATAGAAAATATTTGTCCTTCGACAGGAACCAAACCTGTATCCTATACAAAACCGTCATATAGCCTGATGTGCCTTTAACCGATTTGGCCACAGAGGTTTATTATAAACAGAGCATTTACTTAAATATTTGTATTTATAAAAAAAATGTATAAACATAAAAATGTCTTAAAATAATTGTCGGACTATGTTCATTTCATAATGTGTGATGTCATTTGTTTACATTTGGATATGCTTTAAGCAGATATGAATGTACATGAGAGATTCATGGAAGATTGAAATTTAAAGGCAGTAAAATCAACTTTGCTAACCGAATGCTCCATATAGGATACAGGTTCAATTCCTGTCGGAGACTGAATATTTTCTATGAAAATTTCTCAGACATTCAGGCCGGTAAATTTTGTTTATTATAAACAGACCATTTACTTAAATATTTGTATCAATAAAAAAGAATGTATAAACATAAAAATGTCTTAAAATAATTGTCAGACTTTGTCCATTTCATTATATATATATATATATATATATATATTTATTTGGGAAATGAGCATAAAATTATCCTGAATCAAAGTAATATTTTTCTGGAGGCAGTAATAAACATTCCAGTTTTAGGAATTATATTTGATGTTGATTCTATTTGGAGACAAAATTTAATTTTAAATCGGTTTTGAAATTATGCAAAATTGGGTGTTGGAAATTTTATAATTGCTTAATGATAACTACATTAATTTAAAATCAATTGTGAGCTAAATTTCAGCTTCTGTTTTGGTAAACGCAATCAGGCTCTGTGCCCTCATTGTTTAGAATCTTTTACCCTCTCTCTTCCTCCACCTCTTGCCCTTTCTATTTCTTACCCTTCCCCATTCAGACTTCAACATTGTCCTTGCCCTTTCCTCTCTCTATTTCCACCTCCCTTTCCTCTCTCTATTTCCACCTCCCTTTCCTCTCTCTATTTCCACCTCCCTTTCCTCTCTCTATTTCCACCTCCCTTTCCTCTCTCTATTTCCATCTCCCTTTCCTCTCTCTATTTTCACCTCCCTTTCCCCTCTCTATTTCCACCTCCCTTTCCCCTCTCTATTTCCACCTCCCTTTCCTCTCTCTATTTCCACCTCCCTTTCCTCCACTTGAATAAACAGGTCTATTAGTAAGCTTGTGTTGGGAGAAGATCGTCAGAAACTCTCAGAGTTTTAAATAGGAAAGAATTAGCTGGTTGTCGATGTAGATGCATAAGATGAGAACTGGTTGGTCTCATGAACATGTGCCTAGATGCACTCGCATGCACTGAGTAAGGGGGCCTGTTCTGGTGTGAGTGGAGGTGAGGCAAAGAGCAGAACTGCTTTTCAATATCTGGAAGCTAGATGCAGTCAGTGTCCCTGGGCTCTGAAGTTTGTAGCTTCTTGTCAAACAACAAACAAATTACATCTGTAATTTGGTTAATATTTTCATCTGTAGCTTTTCATTTCACTCTGTTTTATATTTGATAATTGTAAAAGAAAAATCATAGGGTATGCTTTGTTAGGATATGAAAAAATCATAGAGAAAAATGAGTAACATACATTTAATATTGATTTTTTTTTTTTTTTTTTTTTTTTTGAAGCCTTATCAACCTTTGTAGTTTATTTAAACCCAAAATATATTTGGGAATGTAGACGGTTGCTGACAGTACCCTATGTCTTCTTATTTAATAATACATCTTAAAATAAGTTATAGTTTTCTACCACCAATATTAAATTTTTAATTTCATTAACCTTTAGTGGGGCATACTTTAAGATTGCTTTTTTTTTATACCAGACGAGCATTAATTCTGATTGCTTACGGTCAAATCACGCTGAAAACAGCGGTTCTCGTTCGATCACCGAAGTTAAGCATCGTAGAGCCAGGTCAGTACTTAGATGGGGGACCGCTTGGGAACACCTGGTACTGTAAGCCCCCAAAGTCCAACCCTTACCTCACAGTCGGTGGTGGGGTGTAAACGGTAGTGTCAGAGCTATGCCGTCCGGAACTTCATTCCTGGTAGGGCCACCCAAGGCGGACAGGTCTGACACACACGACGGCTAACAAGGGCTCTGGTGAAAATCCAAGGAGCGTCTGCATTGGCAACCGGCGGCTTCTGGTCGTTCCTGTCTCTGCGTCTCTGGGAACCCCCGCGGCAAGCAAGAACGTTAACTGAGTCGGCCTGGGTACCCTACTTCTGTAATTTATCCCAAGAATCTTCTTCTCACAACAGGAAGAAGCCGGCTCAATCCGCCCAAGGTGAATGCCGCATCACACTCACACATTAATTCTGATTATTTAATTTATATCAATAGTGTACAAAGAACAGACTAAAATACAATATGTGCTTACACATTTATGTTGTTGATACAAGACAAGCATTAATTTTGATTATTTTATTGGTATTGATAATAATAAAAAAAGACTAAAGTATATTTGTATTGTATATATATATATATATATATATATATATATATATATGTAATAAGTTCTATGGTAACAGTTTCTTCTTCCTCACTTGTGGAACTCTCTTTCAGCTCAATGCTTTCCAGCCAACTCTGATCCTTAAATCTTTAAATGTCATGTCAACTTTTATCTACTGTCTTCCTGATTGCTCTTCTATTGTTCTTGCTCCTTAATAATGTTTCTGTTTTCTAATTGTTTCACACCTAGTAACAGTTTGTGTCTTAATGGCTTTACTGCCTTTCTTGTGGATATAATCAATTTAAAAAAAAACAAAGTACCTACGTGTTGTGTTAAAATACGTCTTCAGATATTATCCGTTTATAATGATTTTCTTCAAATTGCACTCATTTTCAGATGCTAAAAGGCCAAGTTAAATGTGATTTTTAGTTTAAGATCTACAGCCACTCCTTACTTAATGGCCAGGCTCAATTTCAGTGTCCTGACCTGGTTGCTGTTTCAGTCATATCACGTGTCTAATGGGTTTTTGTTAATTAGCTTCAGATGGCTTTAATGTTGCACTTGCACTGTTTGCAACGTTTTAATTTATTTCAAAATTTTATACAGTACAGTCGTGTACTGAACATTAAATGGAATGAACAAAATAAAAAATCAGTTGTATAATCTGTACATTACTTAAATTTTGAAACTGTAATACAATACAAAAAAAATTTCTAAAGACAAGGGTGTGTCTTCTCACCAGATTTATTCAACCTATACTGTGAGGTGATTCTGAGAGATCTAGAAGTCCTACCAGTATTCATTATTGGTGGCCACAAGCTTAACAACAAAAGATATGCAGATGATAAGAAGAAAACTACAAGAACTACTACATAGGTAGTGAAGGAAAACGAGAAGAAAGGACTAAGCATCAACAACATGAAAATGGATGATTGTTAATAAAAGGAGGAGCTGAAAATGCAAATTACAAATCAGGGCTACTGAAATCAAACAAACAAACAAAAGACAAAAAATGTATATATATTAATGCATGTTTCATTATATATATATATATATATATATATATATATATATATATATATATATATATATATATATTAGCAGTAGAGTCCAGCGTTGCCCGGGATATAACAGTAAGAGATAGATCAAGTATCCACCATCATAAAGACTGAAAAATAAAATTGACAAAGATGACGGACACGCATGTCTTAATTAGTTTTTTTTTTTTTTTTTTTTTTGAATTACTCAAATAAAAAACATTGTTTTCAATCGTTATGAGTCTCCCAATTGAATAGAATTTTATTATAAATAATTGTCTTGTAAATGGAATTTTTAAAGCATTCTGAATGTTAAAATAAAAAAAAAAGTGTGCAAGAGAATAAGAAACACTACCCCCCCCAAAAGTCAAGTTTTGTTTTATCGGCTGAAAAATATAGGAAATCCGATGTGAGGTGTCCCCCTTCCATTTTCACGATGTCTCTTAATCGTGTTTTCAAATTGATTTTGTGCAAAAACAATTATATTTTTCCCATTTTTGGCGCTGTTAGAACCACCACAAGGTAATTTTATGTAGTCCTGTGAAGTTTTGTTGAAATCGGTTGAAAAATGTAGGAAATCCGATCCAATATATAAACGTTACAGACACACACACACAATCTGCATTTTATAATAAGTAAGATATATTAATGCATGTTTCATTAAATAATATAGACAAGTTTTGTCTATTTTAAGTAAGTTTTTTTCATATTGTCTAATAAGCTTAATAACATTATCATTGAAAGACGAAAGGAAATCACCATATTGATACATGTTTAAATCCAATCTAAGCTTTCAGCTAACATAAGCCATTATCAAAGATAATTACTTTTCACTATATCAACCAATACACAGACGAAACAATAATGATAGTCTGTTTTTGTGGCATGAAAAATTTCAAAGCAACGACTAACACAACTATACCTAAACATGAAAACAATAAAGAAAAACTAAAAATTCTTGAAGCTATATACATAAAACAGTTGAAACCTCACCTAAACAAAATAAACTATGAAATCTCCACAAATATTCTTAAATGCCTAAAATTGATAACAGAAGCCATTGGTTTATACCAACGGCTTCCCATACTTAATACTTCTCGTTTTCACTCTCGCATGGTTATGTGTGATGTCAGGAGCTGCAACGCTATTTTCACTTCCACGTCTCCTATATACGAGTTAGTCATTGCTTTGAAATTGCTGCCTAAATATACACACTATATATATATATATATATATATATATATAAAATCTGGGGAGTGTTTTAACAGGACAGAAAGTGTAATATGAAATCTGAAGGCAAATTGTGGTAGCCAAAGACGCATTCCAAAAACTAAGAGTATGAAGAAACAGGAAAACTTCATTAGAAACAAAGAAAAGAGTTCTGAACTGTTATGTGATATGTCTATATGACAGTGAAAGCTTGATAATCTCCACAAATCGAAGAGACTTGAAGCATCAGAAGTCTGCTTCTACAGAACAATGCTGGGGATATGATGGACAGAATATGTAAGCAACGACAGTTTTAGAGAAAAAGGAAACTTATGCTTAACATCGAAAAGAGACAGCTGAAATTTCTAGGGCACATAATGAAGAAAGAGGGCTTGGAAAATTTGATGCACACAGGACAGGTTGAAGAAAAGAGGATAAAAGAAAACATCACCTAACATACTTAGTCTCTCATGGCCCTCCATAATTTCATCTTTGTAACTCTTGATAACTTTAAATATTTTTTTGCCATCTCTCCCAAACCCTGCTCTGCCATCCATTTGCTGAAACTCACCTGGTAGATTAGCCTTGCTTTCCTCTGGCCCGCTTACATTCAATCTGTCTTGAGGATCAAATTTTCCAAACCCTCTTTCATTTCAACTGCTTCTTTCTGATGTTAAGTATAATTGTCCTTTTTGTTTCCATTTTCTCTAAAACTTTGTCGTTGCTCACATGTTCAGTCCATGGTATTCTCAGCATCCTTCTGTAGAACCACATTTCAAGTTTCTTCATCAGTGAAGAGACTGTCCATCATTCAGTGCTATGGAAGAGAACCAATACTACGTAACAGTTCAGTACTCTTTTCTTTGTTTCTAACGATAATCTTTAAAAGTATTATCATATGCTGGCATACAAAGTGACCTTTTAACCTTAAAAAATCCCTCCCAAAAATAGGGAGCCCATATACTCCAGGTATAAAATGTGAACCTTAAATCCTGTGGTTTATCATAAATTGTTAAAATGGGAGTTTTTTGATGTCCCCCCCACTTTTTTTTTTTTTTTTTTTTTTTAATGATGTTGAACAAAAACACAACTGGATGTGTCTCTCAACATTAATTTAAAGATCGCATTTAGGAACAGATGGAACAAACAGATGGTTAGTGGGAGAAAGTCATTCAGGCTACCATATTAGTCTACTGAAAACACAGCACCTACTCATGAGGTATTGTAGATTGTGGTCGTTTATTGACAGTTTCTTCCCACAAGTTTTACATTAGAATTTGGGTGAAAAGAAAGTATATGCTTACTGAATTTATTTAATTCAATACATTTTAAAAATATGATTTGGGTGAGGTCATCGTGTATGGTGAATATCACCCAAAACCTACATTTTAGTTTTAAAATTTGGGGGTCGTCTTATATACCCAGTCAACTTGTATCCCAGCATATGTAGTACCTATATTAAGTGAAAATATTACAATAGTTGGTCACAAAAACTGTCCGTTTCAAGTTAATGTATAAACAATGCCATTGTTTATCATGTTGAAATAGGATACTAGTGATGTGGATAAAGGCATTGGTTAGATCCAATAACAGGACCCAAAGAGTTGTGAGTTCAATACCTGGTTAAGGCAGTGGAGAACTTTCAGAGGGAAATTAACAGGAGATAACTGTTAAGTGACATCCATTAAACATGGCACGTGAAACTAGAACAGTCTACCCCAGCAAAATAATGGGTCCAGTTCAACATTCCAACCACCTGAAGATGGCCGGAGTGTACAACAGCCGAAATGTAATAAATATGGCGACAAAGATGAGGACAATAGTCCAAATAATGTAAATAGTGTACGGAAAGAAGAGTACAAGAACTTCTACAGAAAGTTGTGAAGGTAAGCAAGAAGAAAGAACTAAGCATCAATTGCAAGGCGATAAAATGCATTATTGTTAGCAATAGGAACAGCTCAACATGTAAATTACAAGTCCAACAGTTTAGATATCTGAGAGGCGTATTAACAGAGGATGGAAAGGGCAACATCGAAATCCAAAAGTGCATTGGGATAGTGAAAGATGCCTTCTAAAAGCTAAGCAAGGTATTAATAAATATGGCGACAAAGATGAGGACAATAGTCTGAATAATGTAAATAGTGTACATAATGCCACATCTCAGAAATATAGATAGATACTGAAAGGCCGAAACGTTGTAATAAATATGGCGACAAAGATGAGGACAATAGTCCGAATAATGTAAATAGTGTACATAATACCT